ATATATAATCACCGCTGGTTTCATGGCTAAAATTTTGGCGTATTTTCCTTAATAACTCTTTTTCTAAATGACATTTTCAATTTAAACTTGGCCAACATCTGAAATACATCCAAAAGCAAAATCGTATCCGAGCATACCGCGAGTTTCTTCTTCGTTCGTAATTTAGAGGCATTAACACAAAAAGTGCCGTAAAAAATTAAGATTTTTAAAAAGCGCGGTATGCTCGGATAGAAATATGCATTTTAGTGTATTTTATCGGAATCATTTTAAAAAAATTGCGTTTCAGCAATTCCGAAGAAGTTTTTTAAAAATATTCGCTTTTTCTTTGGTTGCCAAGGAAACCACTCACGCCTTTAAAAGTGGGTGTGTCATGTTGTAACTTATATCACTGGAATCTCCATCTCATATGCTTTACACGTATACCAGTCAAAAACCACCATTATTTATATATGTTATTTTAAATGAATCTAAAATGACCCCATTTGTCCCTTTAAAGTTAAAAAATAAGTTAACCTAAATCTTTTCTGTTTTTATATCACTGTCCTTTACCTTTTTGTTCTTCAAAAATTGACACCAGTCAGTCAGACACCAGCCAGTCAGACACCAGCCAGTCAGACACCAGCCAGTCAGACACCAGTCAGTCAGAGAGCGCGATTTTCTATGATACCGAACCGGAAAATAATGAATGCACCTTTTTTGCTTTTAGATGGTCTTGGCATGTCCTCAATCCTTAGCAATTACGGTAATGTCAGCTACTTTCAAACGATCTCAGAGTACTTAAGCCCAGTTCTAAAGTACAACGATAGTTACTGGTTGAGATGTTGGCATGGTAGGACGGACGGTTTTGGTTCAGCCACATTCCATACCAAGTGTGACGGCAAGGGGCCGACTGTAACCATTGTACTTGTTAAGCCTTTCTATGTTTTTGGGGGATATACAGATGTACCATGGCATCGTAAGTAAACCATGAACATGTATTTAGTAGCGTTATGGAATGTAATCAATCGAGTATTGAACAAAAGCTTGCAGAATGATAATGGATGAGAGTTCCCTAGGGTGATTTCCCATGCAGAGTATATATAGTACACAAGTGTAAAGAATTAAAGTCATTGGACGGCATCTCGCACAGTATACGGATGCTCTTGATATGATTTGCTAAAAATAAGTTTTAATTTTGAAAATCAGAAACCCGAACCTACTCAAGCTCAACTGTGTCGTTTCTGTACTCCTTGTACAACATCAAAGGTTACCAACCTGCCAAAATGAAGATCAAAGTCACCAGCAGTGCAATATATGGGGATCCTGGATTTGGCCCTACATTTGGCAGAGGAAACGACCTCCACATTGACACCTGGTCCTCAACTACCAGCCGTTCTTATGCCACTGCGAATTCTTATGAGCCACCTCCAGGATGTCCAGGTGCGAACTGTATCTTTTACGTGGACGGCGCGACTTATTTCCAGGTGGAAGACATCGAGGTGTTTTACGAAAAAGATCGACGTGCTCTCTAATCTGAAATTCGTGAATAAAAGTTTAAAATTAGAAATAGAATTCAAACAGAATATGAAATATATATGCTAAATATCCAAGGACCTTTGCGCTCGATCCAGTTTTGATTTAAGAATAATCTCTTGTTAATCGAGGTCCTTTCTGAGTTGTTATAAAAGGATGTCGAGTCTTTGTATGCGAGAATGTCGCGCAAAGGCTCTTGGATCTTGATTCTTGACCTTTATGTAATGGTCCGAGTAAGAAGCAGGCAAGCAACGGCAATGGAATGCATGGAGGTGCTAATTTTGTATTGTATAATCCATCCACCTCATTGGTTAAAACATTAAAATTTGACATAATTTCAAAAGAATGCGCACTTTTTAATATTTTATTTAATATCTGATTCCGACTTCATAAAAGCTTTCCTTAGCTTTAATATTAATAGCAATTCTATGTGGGGAACATAGCAAATTAGAAGCATTTTTTGGCTATTGTTTTGAGTGCTTATGATTTGACAAGATCTTTTAATACAAAAGAAACTTTGTTTCAAAACAGAGTTTATTCACATTTTATTTTAAAAAATGTGTTACCCATAGGTTGATATATAAGCAGTGTGAAGACCAAGACATTCGTATGTGGGGAAGTTGCAATTGCCGCAGAATAGAAAGTTGCCTGCTTTTTGCGCGCATTGTTACTTAATTTCAAATCGACGTCTTTACAAATAAACCCTTTACTCTGTGCTAGCCTGTCATAAGTTGTTTTTTTACGGGAGCGGGTCATCAGCCCTCAGCCCAACCCCCAACCTGTAGGATCAGGGATTACACTTAGTCTGGCTTCTACCCTTCGACCTGTTCGGCATGGGTGGCCCTACCACAGGAGTATATTACTCCAGCCGACATAGCTCTAGGGGTCATTGAAACACACAAACCGCCCCACCACGATAAGGTGGTAATCCTTTGGAGCAGAAGGCCTTATGCACCACCATGGGTGCGAAGCAGCGCGGTAAATTGTGTTAGCCTCAAAACCATGAAAGACATAGACTTACAAAAAAATTTAATTTCTCAGCAAATAAAACAAACACTGTAAGATTAGCATTTTTTTCTTAAAAGTGTAGTAAAATGTTTAGATGGAATTAAAGTGCTTGTTGTCCCTTAATACCAATGTCTGTGATGTAACTCTTATGTAACCGTATTAATGTTTGTAATGGTACTGTGTTCCCTCTCAAGGGACTGTGAAATGTATTTAGTAAGACCGATTTGTTGATTGAAGATACAGTTGAAAGACTACGCAACAAAAGTAACATTCGYGTGTATTTCTAAATATTGGAGGTAAATAAATTGCCTTCATGGATAATAACATGATAAACAGAATATTACATGGAGATACGGCTTTTATCATCCCGTGCTACGCTCACTYGTTCGAGATCTTTTCSACACTCGAAAATACAATCCGTACTTGACGCCAGCACCCCTAATAGCACCTAAGTACATTTATGCGTATATTAACGAGCCACCCGAACGTTAGGTGTTTTGAGAGCTTCACTCCCWAACATGCAATATTTGTTAAACCATTTACAATGCCTGCACAAGAAAGTTATCCCCCTCAGACCTTAAACTATAAATCAGTTGTTATTGCCTTTCAACTAGCAAAACCCATGGGTACTTTCGGTCGTACAATCGCCGTTTAGACATTGACATTTTCCATTTTATCCGTCAACCTTGTTTTGAAATAGCATACATCTTCATGAATGAAGAACATTTTATCATAACTTTAAACTAAACATTTCGCATTTACAGTACATTAAAGATACAAAGGATAATGCTATCAATTTTAGTGGATCTTTCGTTTTAATTGCTCTAATTTTTAAGTTGCACTTAGCATTATTAAGTTAAAAATT